CCCCAAAACCCCAAAACCCCAAAACCCCAAAACCCCTTAATTATCTATTAAGTTTAAGGGTTGAGGATATGATATTAAATAAATCTTTAATACAGATTAATTAGAAATAATACTGATTAGAATTTTAATCTTTAAATTAAATAAGATTTTAACTTAAATCATTAGAGAAATTGAAGCCGATCTCTAAACAAACTGAATTTGAATAATTTCAGATTGAGGCTGTAGATGAATCAAATCCTCCTAAAAATGTATACTTTTTAGTCCTAAATATAAATCCGCATTCAAGAGGTCCGAGGTATCCATTTAATATGCAGTTGCATCGGATAGCTTCAGTATTATTTAAGACAAACTTTACACAACTTTTATATTTATCACCTGTAAATTCAAAATCTTCCCAGCTTGTTCCTAATGAAGCCTGAGTATAGAGTGTCACGTTGAATTAGTAAAATGTATTGTTATGACCAACGTAATAAGCAGTTATATCGTAGGTAGAGTTGTATACTACTGTTTTATTGTAAGAATAGTAAAAACTATTCCCTTTGTAACCTAAACCAGATTGATTTCTTGCTCCGATTAAATCGACTTTTAAATTATTTGTATAGGTATAATTTTATGTAGAGTTGAAAACTTTTTAGACATAGGTAACCTTGTCATTCCAGTTAGGTCCACTCGGAGTAAATGGCTGATGATGTTTTCCGACTTACATTCCTCGCTTAGTCTCGTTATGAATTATAGGAATTTCAATTGGAGAGTAAATAGAAAATGTGTAGTCTCTTATATCACCAACAGCCCAATCAATCTTTATCTCCATTTGATATGTTCCTGCAGCTAATGGAGTCTCTGTGTAATCAATCCAAGAGTACTCATACTAATCTTTTGTTGTCACTAAATTAAGAGTTGTTGGACCATTCTTGAGTCTCATTGTACCACCACTAGGCAAAGTTTTACATCCAAGTCCATATTATCTAGCGTGATAAAAATTGATTGCAAAGGATAATTATGTTGATGAGTTTAATGCTATTAAATATGTTACTGTTTTACCATCATCATTTTCTGCACTATACCATGATTGCTTCCAACCTGGGAAGTAATAAGATATAGTCATACCATTAAATCCCGTTACCATTTCTGTTTCATTTAACCAGTAGAAACCATCATTTGTGTTTAACTAATGATTCAAAGCGGCTGCAAAATTATTTCCGTCTAATGTCCACATTGGAGAAGTATCGTTCCAAGTTCCTGTGAAACCATTATCATTTCTCCATGGATTTCTAGCTAAGTAGAGACGATAGACTTAACCTGTTGCATTATTTGTAACCTCAACAGCATTATATAGAGTATAAGCATGAGCACACACCAATGTGTAATTACAAAAAGTTTTATCACTTGTTCCCGGAGTACTTAGATCAATAAAAAAGTTTTTCTATTTTGCATTAGTAACAAGAGTCCATAATCTTGATGTGTTTGTAGCGGGGAATGGATACCATTTAGACCTAACATTCTATAGGAACTTCATTCCTTCCCAAGCTTACCCCATAGGAGTATTTTCATAATTTGCATTTTGCTTAGCCCAAGCCTTCTCTAGGATAGCGGGCCATAGGGATCCATCAACTCCACCTCTAACTCCCATAAAGTTTTTAGCTGAAGTTAGAATGGGCATATAATCGTCGACTACCATCACAGTTGGTATACCTCTAACCCAAACATTGATAGCATAAAGCCCAGCATTATTTCTATCTTTGTTGATAAAAATTGGCTCAAAAGCCATTTAGTTGTCAGAGACTGCTCCAACTCCTGCTAAATAATAGCAATTTCCAATGGAACCTTGAGCAATATCAAGTTTACTACCCTCTGTGCCAAAGACTGTTCCTTATGGTATTAGCTTTTGTATTCTTTTCCAAACAGTGATGGGCTCGTAGCTAGCAAGTTCGTTGTTTGTTTTACCTCTCCATCTTAAAGAAGAATTGTCTGGAGGGAAACTTGGGTCACTCCATTCTTAACCCTTATTTAAGATATCTTTATAATCTGGGATACCTTTTTTCCATCTAAATATTGAAGAATAGCACTCTTAAGGAATGGATTTATAAGTTACAGAGGAACCATCTTTTTTAGAGTTAACAATTTCTAGATATTTTCTAAGACTATAGTCTTACAAAAACCCTGCAGAGGTAATACCTACCAAGGCAGTCAGTATACTTATTATTTTACTCATTTATTTAATATATTTTTAGTATCCTTTGCCGTTTAAGCCTATTGATCACTATAACAATATACGATAATAATTTTATTTTGCCGAATTATTTTTTTAACAAATATATATTTACCTGATTTCCTCTTCATTCCCGAGCACTACTAATCAAGATTCTTGGGGTTTTGGGGTTTTGGGGTTTTGGGG